TAAACCCTAAACCCAAAACCCAACTAGGACCCTCAATCCTACAACCCCAGGCCCCATCACCCAGAAGCCCTCAAAACCTCCGCACCCGACATGCCTGAGCCACTCTTCTCTGTAGCCCTTTAGGATTTAGGGTCTTCAGGATTTAGGGGTTTAGGGTTTAGGGTTTAGGGTTTAGGGTCTTGAGGGGTTTGGCGTCTTGGGGTTTATGATTTCGGGTCTTGGGGTTTATTGATTTTGTTGTTGGGGCGGTCACTTGTCCGAGGTAGTAGCCTGGAGCTGCAGCTGCAGGTCATCCGATGAGTCACCTGTTTTTTCGTCCACTCCCTACGGAGCTGGAAAGTTGCTTCTGGTTTGGTAGATTGCTGCCTCACGTAGAAAAAACATATCGGCCAACATATCACATAAAATACGGTTGAATTGGACAGCAAACTCCAAGCCGTTCATCTTGACACATCTGCAGTGTCGCATGTCGTTGCAGACTCCAGGTGTACAGTTGTAAACCTCCTAGCTGCCCCCTAAACCCTAAACCCTAAACCCTGCTCTTGAGAAGCACATGCTGCGCTGCAGATGCACGGCATGTCAATGGCTTGCCTCACCGAGTCACGTCGGAAGAATCCCTTATCTTGAGCATGCAACTTCTCCCAGGCCGTTGCAGAAAAGAAAGCGATGCGCGGTGGTTTGCGAAGTTGTTGCATTCATGCGATTAGTGCGAGTTGTTACACTGGAATCAGGTCGCGTACTCTCTGGAGGTTGAACTGATTGACGTGCGTATCTGCAGCTGTGTAGGTGTAGGCGACAACAGCAAAGGGACAGGAAGCTGCGCAAGTGTGCTGAGAGAGGATGCTACGGATTTCGACCTCAGCCAGATACGCGACGCATCAACCAAGCAGACAGCCATGCCGGCGAACCTGCTAGATCATTCGGGCAAGCCTGCCGGCAGCGTTTGATACCCAGAGACTTGCCGCCCGGCACAAGTGCGATGAGTTTGCAACTTCTTTTTGTTTGTCACTGCCATCCTCCACAGTATTCCTCATCTTTTCGCCTCTGTTACAATTTCAAGCCGTGTTGCTTTCCAGTCTTGGTGTCGTATGTCCGTTATGCTGTGCTCTCCAACAGAATTGTCTGAGTGATCTGCCGTGCTTGCACTACTGATGCTAGCTAGCCGTGCAAGCCCCTGTTTAGTATCCATCGCCTAAACCCTAAACCCTAAACCCTAAACCCTACCCTAAACCCTAAACCCTAAACCCTAAACCCTAAGTGCGAGTTCGTGCCACGATTTCTGATAAAATCACAGAAGCTGGTCGCGCAGGGGAGCTGTCTGCCTCAGTTGATAATTATGCTGAGCTTTCGATTTGAGGTGGACTCGGTCCACACCTATCCGCCCAGGCGCAGCTGTAAACGATTGTACTTGAAGGTGGAAGAGGGCAATCCCTCGCCCACAGACCCTAAACCCTAAGCCCTAAAGCCCTAAACCCTGTAATCTAAACCCTAAACCCTAAACCCTAAATCCCTAAACCCTAAAGCCCTAAACCCCAAAATCCCTAAACCCTAAACCCTAAATCCCTAAACCCTAAACCCTAAAGCTGCCAGGCAAGCTGCCGAAAAGGGGCGAAGTTGGTGCACCAAGGCCAGCAGAAGGGGCATCTGCGGGTGTGAGAACTCGGCCACGCGGTTTAGGGTTCAGGGCTTTAGGGCTTTAGAGTTTAGGGTTTTAGGGCTTTAGGGTTTAGGGTTGTAGGGTTTAGTGTTTGGGGTTTTAGGGTTTACGGTTTAGGGTTTAGGGTTTTAGGGTTTAGGGTTTAAGGTTCTATTCCGGCTTGGCATGCCTAAACAGTTGCAGAACAGGAACGAAAAGGTCTAGTGGGCATCGCCGGTATCACCGTTATCGTCATCTCCAGTTTTCTCGCCTCCCGCTTCTCTCTCACTATCAGCTCAAGCTCCCTCCAGCGTCAGGGTTTAGGATTCAGGATGCCATCATATTAATGATGATTGTAATAATTTCAATGCTAATAACAATCATGATTTTTGATAGCCGTCATCATCTGCCCAGCGACTTCTCCTTGTGATGTTTCTAGGCCTAGGTGCTGACCAAACAATCTATTTGCCAGGGCCGACCACGGTGCCACCAACGGAAGGAAGGCCGGGCGCCCTGCAAAGCCTTCATGTAATATGGGTAGTTCTCTAAACTACGGTCCCTTTGAGGGTCCTTATGGGGGTTTAGGGGTTCATGGGTTTAGGGTTTGAGGGTTTAGGTTAGTTCACTAGATTAGGGTTCTTTGTAGGGCTCCTTAAAGGGATGTACAAGGGTTTCTACAAGGGTATCATCATGGTTCTATACGGTTTTAGAGGTCGATTAATTACGTAGTAAACGTAACGGTTCTATATGGCTTTAGAGGTCGAATAACTGGTAAACGTGTCCACAAACCCTCTTGAACTCAGTAGCATGTGGTACGTCCTCGGAGGACTTAGCACCCTCTGAAAACGTATTCCGTTATAATTACCATAACTTTTTTGTATAATATATTTTTCCTACAAAGCCTTATTCTATTTATGCAGGTCCCTATTACTAAGACTAAGTGGCAAGATCAGCAGCAGCAGGAGAACAACAGAAGGAAGAAAAAGACAAAGCCATATTGCCCAGTCCCTAAACCCTAAACTGGCCCTAGGCCCTAAACCCTAAACC